GGCGTAATAGCACACAAAATGCGTGCTAAAGGAATAACAGGAAAAGTCGGTCGATGGATCTATAATTTCCTCACTAACAGAACACAGAGAGTAGTCGTCAACAGAGTAAAGTCCGAGGCAGCTACGGTGAAAAGCTCTGTTCCACAAGGCACAGTACTCGCTCCCATCTTGTTCCTCATCCTCATATCCGACATAGACAAGGATGTCAGCCACAGCACCGTGTCTTCCTTTGCAGATGACACCCGAATCTGCATGACAGTGTCTTCCATTGCAGACACTGCAAGGCTCCAGGCGGACATCAACCAAATCTTTCAGTGGGCTGCAGAAAACAATATGAAGTTCAACGATGAGAAATTTCAATTACTCAGATATGGTAAACACGAGGAAATTAAATCTTCATCAGAGTACAAAACAAATTCTGGCCACAAAATAGAGCGAAACACCAACGTCAAAGACCTGGGAGTGATCATGTCGGAGGATCTCACCTTCAAGGACCATAACATTGTATCAATCGCATCTGCTAGAAAAATGACAGGATGGATAATGAGAACCTTCAAAACTAGGGAGGCCAAGCCATGATCACACTCTTCAGGTCACTTGTTCTATCTAGGCTGGAATATTGCTGCACACTAACAGCACCTTTCAAGGCAGGTGAAATTGCTGACCTAGAAAATGTACAGAGAACCTTCACGGCGCGCATAATGGAGATAAAACACCTCAATTACTGGGAGCGCTTGAGGTTCCTGAACCTGTATTCCCTGGAATGCAGGCGGGAGAGATACATGATTATATACACCTGGAAAATCCTAGAGGGACTAGTACCGAACTTGCACACGAAAATCACTCACTACGAAAGCAAAAGACTTGGCAGACGATGCAACATCCCCCCAATGAAAAGCAGGGGTGTCACTAGCACGTTAAGAGACCATACAATAAGTGTCAGGGGCCCGAGACTGTTCAACTGCCTCCCAGCATATATAAGGGGGATTACCAACAGACCCCTGGCAGCCTTCAAGCTGGCACTGGACAAGCACCTAAAGTCGGTTCCTGACCAGCCGGGCTGTGGCTCGTACGTTGGTTTGCGTGCAGCCAGCAGTAACAGCCTGGTTGATCAGGCTCTGATCCACCAGGCGGCCTGGTCACAGACCGGGCCGCGGGGGCGTTGACCCCCGGAACTCTCTCCAGGTAAACTCCAGGTAAACACCTTTTGGCACTCTACTTGAACTGGTTCATGCTATGACTGACTTTGACATGTGCAGGCAGTCTGTTCCATCCTTTATTGCTGTACAATAAAAGGTGTTTGAAGCCTGGCCACTGACTGTGGGTACTACAAAGTTGTGCTCTCTCCCCCTAGTACTGTGATTGCTTTGGTTCCCAACCTTGACAAAATTGACAGCAAGATATTCTGGACACTGTTTGTAAGCAATTTTATAAACACGAGTAAAACAACTGAAGCTAAATCATGTTTATAAAATTGCTCACAAACAGTGTCCAGAATATCTTGCTGTCAATTTTGTCAAGGTTGGGAACCAAAGCAATCACAATACTAGGGGGAGAGAGCACAATTTTGTAGTACCCACAGTCATTGGCCAGGCTTCAAACACCTTTTATTGTACAGCAATAAAGGATGGAACAGACTGCCTGCACATGTCAAAGTCAGTCATAGCATGAACCAGTTCAAGAAGAGTGCCAAAAGGTGTCTGATGAATGTAGCAACAGAAAAGGAGGGGAATGATTTTTTTAACTAACACACGTGTAAATTTTACCTTATTCCTAGTAATGACCCTCTTATTGTAGATTGTCTTAATGACCCTCGTGTAGTAGATAGTCTTTTTAGTATGATAATAAGATGTTATCTTCATTATAGAATAATAATAAGACATTATAACCTTTATATTATAATAAGGTAAAAGGACCCCAATGGAAATAAGTCACTGACTTTTTTGGGTTATCCCAGGTTGTCCACACTTGCTGCTATGTATGATAATCTATGTAACTGTGTATACCTGAATAAACTTACTTATTCTTACCCGTTATTTCTTTTGTTCACGTATTTTGTCTAGGTCTTAAAGGCCTTCACTTCACACAAACTAGTTTTGAAGGTCATTATAATCACCCATCATAAGGGAGAGATGAGTAGGTCATTCAGTATTTATGTAACATGTATACCAACACAATAGCCAATTATAATTCATAATTATCAGCTACTTTAGACACTTAAAATGGCTATAACTACCGACTACTATTCGGCGAAATGGGCACTGGTTGACATTGTGATTTTTATTTATTATGGGAGATATTAGCACAAAATAAACATCAAGGTCGAGCATCGCGTCTGAATCACCTGAGACTGAAGGTAATCAAAGATACCCCAGACCAATGGCTAGGTAGTTACTTTAGCCTTTTAAGTAAGGTTAGGTGGATTTCATTAGGTTTATTTAGGTTTTAACTGCGAAAACGCTTAATATTTTCCACTTCATACAATTAATGGCTGGAGGAAATGTAAACCGATACACAAACTTCATAACTGATTCACTTGCAACATTCCTCACCTTCAACAGCGCGTCTCTGATGTTCACTAGACGAGTCTTTATCCTCAGTTCAACCAGTAAGTAATACTTTTCTACTGTAATGTTTTCAGGTGTCTACTCCCAGTAGGTCCTAGCCAGCTCACCTGTCATGGAGCTCTCCAGGTTGACCTCCATCTTCTGAACACAAAGGTCAAACTACACCTGACTTTTCGAACCTCTTTGGTTCGAGTTATTTCAGACTATTATAACCATAAGGTTTGGCGCTTCTTTCTGATCATAATAATAATATCATCATAAGGAAATGCTGTTATTGTTATAATCAACATTAAGCGCTAAACCAGCAGGGTAAGGAAACTAAATAGAAGGGAATTGTAAAGACTCCGAAATGGGAGACAGTCTAAGTAAGAAAGTAAGTTTATTCAGGTATACACAAATACAGTTATACAGATTATATTATTATTATTATTATAATCAAAAAGAAGCGCTAAGCCACAAGGGCTATACAGCGCTGCTATACAGATTATAACTCGATCCAAGGAAGGAAATGACAAGTCCAATTCCTTTGATCAAGAGCCCGTCACCAGCACCCCAATGGAAATAAGTCACTCCGTCTGACTTTGAAGATTGAGACACTTATGCAGCATATGGGAATCTTTATTCAGGAAACGTTTCGCCACACAGTGGCTTCATCAGTCCAATACAAAGAGGAAGGCGTAAGGAGAGGAGGAGTATGAGGTAATCAGTCCCTCAGCCTGGAGTCGATGTTTTCAGTCCATCAATCTTGTAGAATGTACAGCATAGGGCCGTAGACGTGGCTTATATACTGTAGTGAGGTGACTTGAAGCAGACGGAGGCGGGATCATAGTGGTATCATCCACTAGTCGAAGTAGGTCTTTGTCCAAAGGTTGAACAAGCGTTGAAGAATTCTTTGTAAGAAGATCCCATGATGCTGCAGTGTCTGACAGTTGTGATGAATGGTTTGAAAAACCGGTTTTTCAAACCATTCATCACAACCGTCTGACTTTTTTGGGTTATCCTAAGTTCTCTACACATATGCTGCTATGTATGATAATTCTATGTAACTGTATTTGTGTATACCTGAATAAATTTACTTACTTACTTACTTAGTACCTCACTTGAGGGTTGAAAGACTGACTCATGTTTCACTGGAGACCAAGTCTGCTGAATCAACTATGAACTTGATGTTGTCTCTTATCTTGCTGGATAAATATACCCAGAGGTGTGTATATTCACCAAGGTTATATGAGTTTATCTTACTCAATATTTTAGATTATTATTATTACAATCAAGGGGGAAGCGCTAAACCCGTAGGATTATACAGCGCCTGGGGGGGATGTGGAAGGCATTCGGGCTTAATTCGAGGAACTGGAGCACAGATCCAATTCCCTAAATCAAGAACCCCTCACCAACATCAAGGAACCTTCTTTGATGGGAGGCCTTGTAGTAAATCTTTTATAAATGTATCTTATTAAGAATAATTGTGACGTTGTTTTATGGTAAGAGTTAAACCCGTCTAGGAGCTTTATTTCATATAAAGGCGATTTTAATTATTTTTCATTTTAATCATGGAGAAAGCTCTAACCCCGTATGGATCATAAAGTGCCTGGGACACGAGGAAACAATCAGGATTGATTAAACTTAAGGAGGGTAGCTGTAATTATCTAGCCTCTCAAGGGATGTGCCTCTGCTGGTGAGGAGTTCTTGATCCAAGGAGCTAGATTTACCTTCCCCCTTCTTTGCATGGAACCTGAACGCCTACCCAGGCGCTATATCACTTCTACTACCATCCCAGGCAGTAAACATCAATGATAACCCAAGAAAGATAAAACAAAAACAAACAAAAGCTAATTTCCATCGGGGTCTGCCCATAGGCTGTGCCACAGCAGTAGGCTAACGCCAACACTTAGGTTTACCTGGAGTTTACCTGGAGAGAGTTCCGGGGGTCAACGCCCCCGCGGCCCGGTCTGAGACCAGGCCTCCTGGTGGATCAGAGCCTGATCAACCAGGCTGTTGCTGCTGGCTGCACGCAAACCAACATACGAGCCACAGCCCGGCTGATCCGGAACTGACTTTAGGTGCTTGTCCAGTGCCAGCTTGAAGACTGCCAGGGGTCTGTTGGTAATCCCCCTTATGTGTGCTGGGAGGCAGTTGAACAGTCTCGGGCCCCTGACACTTATTGTATGGTCTCTTAACGTGCTAGTGACACCCCTGCTTTTCATTGGGGGGATGGTGCATCGTCTGCCAAGTCTTTTGCTTTCGTAGTGGGTGATTTTCGTGTGCAAGTTCGGTACTTATTAGGTACTTATTTACTGCCACTCACTCATTAGGTGAACATTCCTTTGAGCAACCATGTATCTTAAAATAAATTTATTATTATTATTGTTATAGGTAGGTGTATAAACACTTATGGCTCACCTTCAGTCTTCCTGACTACACTATCACCAACAGGTGCCTGGTATTCAGATAGTAACAGTGTTGCTGCTGCTGCTGATAAGTGTGAGAGTACATGGAAAACCACAGAACCTGGGGATACAAGTGAACAACCAGGCGCTGCTCACCCTGGGGGTGGGTCTTCTGGCCACTGGGGTTGGATTCCACCTGGGTCGCCAACTTGCCATCAGGGAACAGAATAAATATAATAACCCGTAAGTATTATTATTATGACTATGAATTATTATTATTATTATGGGGAGCGCTAAACCTGTAGGATTATACAGCTATGACTATGAATGCTTAGAATGTATGGGTTTTTCACTGTTAAAAGTCATACGTATACCCTATGAATACATTTTTATATCTCATGCTTTCAGGTAGAGTTTGTGATATTAGCTTGTTAAAACATAATAGTGGAGCACTGCAGAAGGTCTACTGGCCGATGCTATGCAGATCCAATTCACACCCAAAGTTCTCGCTTTAGTAACTACTTGGGAGTTTGTTCCCCCTCGATTTTTTTTGACAAGTTAAGTGTAACGTTATTGTTGCAAATAATGTACTATATTATACCGATTTTAATATTGATTCTTAAATTTATGAGAAACGCTAAGTCCATGAAGGTTATGCAACGCTTAAAGAATAGAAGGTAATCGGGTTTATTCAGAGAGTATCTCCAATTCCTTGGATCAGAAGTCTTTTACCTGCGTCGAGGGGAGGATATCTCAAGTTCACGTAGAACGTTAGTATTTGAAACTCCAAAAGTAAGATTATAATAAAAAACGACCACCGTAGCAGCAAATCAAACTCGCACACAAGACTCTTTAAGGGGGTGAGGTGCATCGATGCTATTTTAGGGCTCTTCATCCAAGAAATTAGACATGTCTTCTCCTTCCTTAGATAAAACCTGACTACCTCCTATTTAGAAGACACTATATGGTTAATTGGTTTAACGCCTCCCCAAGATCAAATTATTATTATAATCAAGGGGGAAGCGCTAAACCCGGAGGATTATACAGCGCCTGGGGGGGGGGGGTGGAAGGCATTCAGGCTTAATTCAGGGAACTGGAGCACAGATCCAATTCCCTAAATCAAGAGCCCCAAGATCAAAATAATCCCATTTATATGTATTTCTCCAACTTACTCTGCAGCTTCCCAAAGACAGCTTGTGATTTTGTCATTATTATTATTATCAAAAAGAAGCGCTAAGCCACAAGGGCTATACAGCAGTGATTTTGTCAGCTTCTTCAGCTTCTCTAGACCCCTCAAGGAAGGTTCCTTGATGTTGGTGAGGGGCTCTTGATTTAGGGAATTGGATCTGTGCTCCAGTTCCCCGAATTAAGCCTGAATGCCTTCCACATCCCCCCCAGGCGCTGTATAATCCTACGGGTTTAGCGCTTCCCCCTTGATTATGATAATAATAGACCCCTCAAGGGAGACTTCTTGATGCTGATAAGGGGCTTGTGCAGGGGCAACTCCAGGAGGAAATTAGGGATTAGCAGTTTGGTTGGAAGAGAGGGCTAGGGAGCTTGTCTTGAACCAGTGTCAATATTATTTGGGGGTTTTGGGGACTGGTAGATTTTTTTTTTTTTTTTTTTTTTTTGGGGGGGGGGGACTTCAGACCCACGTGGTGGCACCCCTGGGCTCTTTCTCTAAGGAATTGGACCTGTGATTTATTTCCTTGAATCAAACCTGAATACTTCTCATTTCTCCAGATGGTGTATAACCCTTATAGGCTTAGCACTCTCCTATGTAATACTAAGTCATATACAACTTTATTGCCAAACCAGTCCTGTATTCTTTTTCAAGCAATAATGAACTTTTATTTCCTGCATCCACAAGTAACCTTGCAAATCAATCCAGTATTACACTCAGAGGCCAGTGTATTAGGTACACCCTTCTAGTACTGGGTAGGAACCCTTTTCCCTTTTCTCCCAGAACAGCCTTTGTGGCATAGATTCAACAAGGTGCTGGCAACATTCCTTAGAAATCCTGGTTCATGCTGATGTGATAGCATCAGGTAATTGCTTCAGATTTTGTTGGCTGCACATTCATGCTGTGAATGTTCCATTCCACCACATCCCAAAGGTTTATATCAAATTCGGACCCTACCACCCACTTGTCATAGCAGAAATTGCAGTTCATTAAACCAAGCAACATTTTTCCAATCATCAATTGTCTAGTGTTGGTAAGCCTGTGCTCACTGTAGCCTCAGTTTCCTGTACTTAGCTGACAGGAGTGGAATGTGGTATGGTCATCTGTTGTAGCCCCTCCACATCAAGGTTGTGCATTCAGAGATGCTTTTTGCATACTACTGTCCTAATGCATGGTTATTGGGGTTACCATCACCTTCCAGTGAGATTAAACCAGTCTGGTTATTCTCCTCTGATGTCTCTCATTAACAAGGCTTTTTGTCCATAGAACTGTTTTTTACACTATTTTCTATAAACTCCAGATTTATGTGTGAAAATCCCATGAGATCACCAGTTTCTGAGATACTCAAACCACCCCGTCTGGCACCAACAATCATTCCATGGTCAGAATCACTTATATCACATTTTTCCCCATTCTGATGTTAGATTTGAACAACTGAACTTCTTTACCATATCAGCTGAGGTACTGCCACATGATTGGCTGATTAAATACTGTTTGCATTAGCATAGAAGTGTACTTGATAAAGTGGCCACTGAGTGTGTATTCACATTCTTCATATTTTAACTATGGGATCAATGTTTCCGTTCCTCCTCAGAAACTACATCAGATATCAACAACCATTCTATGGGTTCCGCCGTCGCCGTCAAGCTCATTCTGAGAACGAACTGGAGCCTCTGATGGAGCAGCTCTTCCAAAAGGTGCTGCAGGAGGATGTGGCAAGGTGCAGTCTACAGCTAACTTGTGTTGTGGGCAGCATACCTCCTTCCAGCCTCATGGGCTATGCCAAAAATCTTTATATCATTCTCAGGTAATTTGTATCAATGTTTTACATTTATTTAAACAGGACACTTGGTATTGTGCACAGAAAGTGATCTTTGTATATTGTACAATGACACAGCTCATTTGTGTGTCTACTTATTCTGATCAAACAGTATAAGGTCTGGTCACAAACTGGATAGAACAACCTTTGCCAGGTTGTTGTCCATCCCTCCTAGGCCTCAATCCCACTTTCTCTCTTTAGCTGGATTATTATAATATACATGAGGAAGCACTAAACCCATAGGGATCATACTGTACCTGGAAAAGGGGAGGCAGTCCAGTTTGATCCAAGGAAGGGAAGAATAGATCCAATTCCTTGAACCAAAAACATCAAGATACCTCCCTATCTCATGAGAGGACATGTGAAACCTGACCTTATTATGGTCAGGTTTCACATGTCCTTGATGCTCTCGATTTAAGGAACTTCTGTTCTCCCCGATATCTTTAAAAATGCCATCTTACTGTTAAAAAAATTAACTCATAGACAGAATACAGTACATATACTATTTCTTCTGACATGTTATTCCCAGCAGCTTGGTACCTGGAAGGACTGTGGATACCACCAAGGAGTGGAGTGGTCTAAAGGCTTTCCAGGTGGCACTGAAGAAAGGTCGTGATGGTGGTGATTGTCACCAGCTCTTTCCCCACTGCCAAACTTCTTCTACCCAACTCCTTCAGCAGTTTCAGAATACAAAAATCGTCCACGGTGTGTGAAGAACACATCCATTAATCACATGCCTGATGGCAGCAGTTATATATCTTATTTTCCAAAAGGTTTCTCAAATATGATCTTCTACCATTAAAAGAAATATGTACAGGCAGGCCCTGTTTATACAGCAGGTTAGGTTCTGGGCTACCGCTGTAATCAAAAATTGCTGTTAAGTGAAACTTAGCCTTTTTATCACTTTCAAATGCATATAAAAGCCTGATAACATGTTTATGTTATCATATACAGTGGACCCCCGCTTAACGATCACCTCCAAATGCGACCAATTATGTAAGTGTATTTATGTAAGTGCGTTTGTACGTGTATGTTTGGGGGTCTGAAATGGACTAATCTACTTCACAATATTCCTTATGGGGAAAAATTCGGTCAGTACTGGCACCTGAACATACTACTGGAATGAAAAAAGTTCGTTAAGCGGGGGTCCACTGTATTAAGTGAGCACTAGAGCTAGGCCTAAAAAATGCATATACAGTAACTCATTACTTAATTTAAAATATTTTTGTTCTTAACTTGTAGTGAGTGATGAATACATTTAGTCTCAATTAATGAAGAATGGGCATATTTGAAAACTGTTATACTGTACTGTATTAGTGAAATGCCATAAAGCTAAGTGCTGTAAAGCGGGTCCCTCCTGTAGTCCTCATCTCTCTTTAAGGCCTCGTGAAGTAATGTAACTAGTGGTGTACCACAATCAATGATCAGTGATTGCTCTAATAATATTTCCAATATATATAAATGACTTGCCAAAAGGAATTTAGAACTAAACCTACATAAACATTTTGCAGATGCAAAAGTCTTACGCAGACTAAGCAGTAAAAATAATTGAGTATTTCTATAAGACCTGGATAGATTAAGCAAGACACTGGTGCTTTGTGTTAGAAATGAAAACAAGCCTTACAGAATGTAACTGATGCAATCAAATGATAAAGGCATTAAACAAAGAAAGGGACCTAAGAGCCACTGTTAATAACACTATCACTGAAAAATCCCCAGATGAAATAGAAACTTCCATACAAAAGTAGCTAAATTTAAAGCAGCCTTCAGATATACTACTTTATAGATGGGAAAACACTGGTAAGCTGTTCACAGCATACATTAGACCAGAATTTGAATATGCAGGTGTGATATTGTGCCCATGGCTTCTTTAAGAAATGTGAACAAGCTAAAAAAAAATTCAAAGGTGAGCTACAAAATGGCTCTGAGCTAAAAAATATACGAGCTTGAGAAAAGGTTAAAGAAACTGGATGTGCCATCTTTGACTGATAGGAGGAAATGTAATATCCACATTCAAGATTGTAAGAGGATACAAAAGAATAGACAAGAGACTTCTTAATACTGTTGTAACTATAAGCTACCATAAGGAAGAAGAGCTGCCAAAAGGGTAGCATATATTGCTTGAAATGTTTTCTTTGCAGAATGATAGAACAAAGGAAAAGTTAACAAGAGGTAGTGAGTGCTACAACCATTGGAAATTTTTATAATATACTAAATGCTGAAGATGAAGCACCACAAGCATAGCTCTGCTCCAGTAGTTACAAATAAGTGATCACATTAACATTTTAAAGGGTAACAAGTAGCGTTGTGTCACCAGCTAAAAATGCTACTTTATAAGCATAAAGCATAATTTGCAGTGAAATTTCTTAGTACATGTACTTATTATGCTTATTTTCCACTTACTAATTAATTTCGATGTGAGTTACAAATTTCCAAAATACCAAAGATAACAGAGTATATTTAGTGTCAATGATATATGTGTGTATTAGTAATATTTTAATAAATTTGACTTAAAACTGGAAGCCTTTATCAACCTAACTGTACAGTGACAGAGATCTAGAAAGTAATAATGAAGGTGAAATGAGGTGAAGACTGAATATTTTGTGGTCAACACTGATTGCATCTGAACATTTTCGATAACCAGAGACTCACTCTTGGAAAATATGATTTTCAGAAAGAATTCATATCAGCCATTTTAGCAGTTTAATATTGTATGTATTGTATGACAGCTTTAGAGTAAAACATTTTATATGTATGATATTCACTGAAAGATGCTCTAGAAATGTTTTAAAATGCTATACATATATGTTTAATTTTTCTTTTAATGGCATAATGTATTATTAAAACCTGTAATTCAAGTTCAAAATGGCCATAATGATATGACGTAAAATACTAGCATTATGGCCAAGAAATTCTTAACTTATAAAAATTTCTCCAGCTAAGCACTTGACCATCTAGATACTCTCTCCAGGTATACATAACAGCCAATTAAGACCCAGGTATCTACCGCTAAGTGAATAGGGGCAGCAGGCATTAACAGATTTGTCCACATCTCTTCATGCTTGGAATTCTAATCAGGGATTTTTTCACTTTTGAGCTACCTACACCAACCACTGTGCTACATTCAACTATATCACTCTTTTTCATTATTGAAAAAAGAACAATTTAAATGCTAATGGTTTATATTTAAGTAGAGCAAAAATGTTTTTGTCATTGCAATTAATTTTAAACATCAAAAAGCTGAATAAAGAATAGTAAAAACTGACTTGGTTTAGAAAATGTTAAAAACCTGATCATTGTTTAGTAAGACTGATGTGTGTTCTGTACAGTAAGTACAATGTTAATCCTAGCATTTACAGTGTTTATTAATACACAGTAAAGCTGTATAGCCCTTGTGCCCTTGTGCTTCTTTTTGATAATAATAATAATACACAGTAAATGAAAAATATAGTACATATACATTTGACCATTTCCCAGAATGTGACACAACAGTTCACCTGCTGCTAGGTGTAGAGGGTACATTTTTTACCTGCATTTACTATCTGTGGTGAGGGAGACAAGATTAACTTATTTTCAAAGACTTTGTAAATGGTCCAAATTGGACCAAAACGTTGTCGTAAGTTCCTCTCTCCTGTGGGCAAGCTATTTGTGTATTGTTCCAGTCATGGTATTGTGCCTTTTGTTCTTTACCTTATTTTTCCTAATGAGTTTTGAGGTGAACCTTGAACTGTAGCAGTGTGCCTTGGACAGATTTAGCAGGTAGACAGTGCCATAATTTTATTACTCTCACAAGACATTCCAACTTTGTCCTTCATTGTTGTTTAAACAATCTATGGAAAATTTTATAAAGGGGTTACCTGAATGTACCTCAACATTACATTCATACATGTAATCTCACTGGGAGGCGACAACCATATATTGTTTACAGTAGTTACCCCGTGTAGACATGTGAGAAAACTTAGCCACCCCTGGTCACTGCAGGTGGCTCCTTCGACCTCACAATCTTACTGATATCTATCCGAGACCACTATGAAGTGGATAGCACCCACAAGTATAGCGCTACTAATTAATTGTGGACTGTATAGATTATTGATTTGACTGAAGGAAAAAGGGAGGGGGGGGGGGTAGACTACACACATATATATCCATCAATGAAAAACATTTGTTTATAATACCACCACTTACCAGATTTCTCCGGTGGTCACTTGATATAGCTGGATCACCCACAACCCATCAAATTACAACATACCTAACTGGCCTGTATCAATTTGCTATAATTAGAAAGGTTACATAACTGTGGGTGATTGATGCTCCTTATTTCCTCCATCCACCATCTCATTTCGATGTCCTGCTACACCGATACGGTTCTTATTCCAGCAAGACGAGGTATCCATTGGTTGGTCCCGCTTTAGAAGTTGTGATTCCATAAAACTCCACTATCCTCGGGACAGGAACGACGAGGTTAACATGTGCTCACTCACTCGGGGTATAGCGGCTCATATCATTTCAATGATTCCTTAATTTAGTGTTATTATCACTAATTACTTCACAACCCACCATACGGTTTAACCTCTCATAACTATTATACATGTTAGAGGTCACTCCATTAAGATCTGAGACCGATGAGAGATTATTAAATCATGGGTATTTTTCCCTGAACACTCCATGGTGTCGTGCTATTTCCCCCCGGTGTCTACCATTATTCACTAATTTTACCACTTTATTACAGTGGTCCCATAAATCACGTTCCCTCACTCTTCACCAGGAACAGTTACGACACTTCCTATTATGAAGTGAGGCCTATATTAATCCTTAGGAAGCCGTGGACGCCAATTTCCTGGTCCCATTTTTTCCCAGCCTCTTAACTCCATTCAAAACACTCCCGCCTCCTGCCGACCTCTCCTCTGCCCATCAGCGCAGGCACAAAGGTTCCCTGTTGGTTCTCTTCTTTAAAATACACTTTACAGCAATAGTAATGCATTAATCATGTATACGTATTTACATTATAAAAAATATACAGCATAATTTTGGGAAATTATTTTCCACACTGCGGCTGGGCGGAGGTCATTGTTAGACAACTTTAATAATGTGGAGTACAATTTTCCCATCTTCACTGGCCACCTGGCTTGGGAACTCCAACATTGGTATTTACATAATTTCCAATTAATCCTTTCCACCTGTTAACTCCTCAGGTAGGACTCCATCCAAAGCACACTCAAGCTTCAATGCTTCTTGTATTAACAATTTCCCTCTTATTGTAAGGTGTGACACTAAGCCTATACTCTCTGGGTTAATTTATTGGGCATACTGGAATTATTAGACTTTAACAATAACAAGTCTCTCTCAGTATTCCAAGTCAGCCGAAGTATATTACTGCATATAGGCACTTCAACTCCAGGGCTATCCTTATTTATTGATCCCTCAAAATGAACAAATTACTGTTCCATTCCCTCAGGGACACCCTTGCACCTTGCATTATTTCATTAACCCCTTCATATATCCTCATTAGTCCCTCTTCAGTTGACGTCACACCCCGGAAATTGTCCACATAAGATTATTTACCCAATTACTTCGTTCAGTGGACCACCTGTGTACTTAAGGTGTGCATTTATCATTGCCTGAAGTAGGAACAATTTATTATTTAACTGCTGATTAATTATATCATTATAAGCAGTCAACAATTCTGGCGTCTTGCTCAGTTCGCAGAGCTGGGCCCCTTAACTGTCCATACGCCATCCTATAATTAGTAGGTAATTCTGGACGGTTCAGCTTCCACGGAAGTCGCACCCAGTAATGTCCAGATTCAAATTTAACATCCTTCAGGTATTGTTCCTGAGTAAAGGAATCATTTGGACTTTCCTCATTTATATTAATCCCTATGCTGTCCAGCTCCCACAAATTAGACTGGTTCAACATCATCCTCGATAGAATAATACTTGTACTGGGTTGACCTTTTATGAGTAAGACACCGTGACTGTATTCACTACTTCTAGTCATTATTACTAGGCGGTAGTCTGCCATATATTACATGGCCCGTACCAGTGTTGAGGAGAGTGACGCCGCATAGTTTTGGATTTACGCCCTTTATCCTGAATTATTACATCCAACACTGGCAAGGCTACCTCAGCTAGGCCATCATTATTGCCATTAGCTGCAACCTTTACATCAGTCACTATAGTGTAAGGGTTATTAACATTATCATTATTGTCACTATTATTATAAGAATTACATACACCACACCAATGTGTGGTGTGAATATAATGCAGAGAATTCGTAGTTTGGAAGTTAGGAGGAGGTGCGGGATTACCAAAACTGTTGTCCAGAGGGCTGAGGAAGGGTTGTTGAGGTGGTTCAGATATGTAGAGAGTATGGAGCGAAACAGAATGGTTTCAAGAGTGTATCAGTCTGTAGTGGAAGGAAGGCGGGGTAGGGGTCGGCCTAGGAAAGGTTGAAGGGAGGGGGTAAAGGAGGTTTTGTGTGCGAGGGGCTTGGACTTCCAGCAGGCATGCGTGAGCGCGTTTGATAGGAGTGAATGGAGACAAATGGTTTTTAATACTTGACGTGCTGTTGGAGTGTGAGCAAAGTAACATTTATGATGAAGGGGTTCAGGGAAACCGGCAGGCCGGACTTGCGTCCTGGAGATGGGAAGTACAGTGCCTGCACTCTGAAGGAGGGGTGTTAATGTTGCAGTTTAAAAACTGTAGTGTAAAGCACCCTTCTGGCAAGACAGTGATGGAGTGAATGATGGTGAAAGTTTTTCTTTTTCGGGCCACCCTGCCTTGGTGGGAATCGGCCAGTGTGATAATAAAAAAAAATACATACAACCCTGCAACATAACTATAAGGTGTCTTCCCTTGTTGCATTGATAGCAATTGTTCAATTTGCAATGACAGTCCTTAACATTATGATTGCCTAGACATCTGATACATCTGTCAAGTTCTTCCATTCTTTCCACTTTAACATTATTTTTTTTTTTATTATTATCACACTGGCCGATTCCCACCAAGGCAGGGTGGCCCGAAAAAGAAAAACTTTCACCATCATTCACTCCATCACTGTCTTGCCAGAAGGGTGCTTTACACTACAGTTTTTAAACTGCAACATTAACACCCCTCCTTCAGAGTGCAGGCACTGTACTTCCCATCTCCAGGACTCAAGTCCGGCCTGCCGGTTTCCCTGAATCCCTTCATAAATGTTACTTTGCTCACACTCCAACAGCACGTCAAGTATTAAAAACCATTTGTCTCCATTCACTCCTATCAAACACGCTCACGCATGCCTGCTGGAAGTCCAAGCCCCTCGCACACAAAACCTCCTTTACCCCCTCCCTCCAACCCTTTCTAGGCCGACCCCTACCCCGCCTTCCTTCCACTACAGACTGATACACTCTTGAAGTTATTCTGTTTCGCTCCATTCTCTCTACATGTCCGAACCACCTCAACAACCCTTCCTCAGCCCTCTGGACAACAGTTTTGGTAATCCTGCACCTCCTCCTAACTTCCAAACTACGAATTCTCTGCATTATATTCACACCACACATTGCCCTCAGACATGACATCTCCACTGCCTCCAGCCTTCTCCTCGCTGCAACATTCATCACCCATGCTTCACACCCATATAAGAGCGTTGGTAAAACTATACTCTCATACATTCCCCTCTTTGCCTCCAAGGACAAAGTTCTCTGTCTCCACAGACTCCTAAGTGCACCACTCACTCTTTTTCCCTCATCAATTCTATGATTCACCTCATCTTTCATAGACCCATCCGCTGACACGTCCACTTTAACATCCCATGAATTATAGGCATTACAATTCTTAGTGAAATGAGTACCCTTGCAGAAGAGACAGTCTCTCTCTTCCTTGCCTGACCTCTTTTCAGCTGGGTTACCCTTACTGAGGTACTTATTCCTCTTACCTTGATGTGAGGAACCACTATTACTGACTCCTGTCACTTGATATGTGCCTATGTAACCCTTAATTATGATTATTACCACTAGGATTATTTTTCCCTTTTGAGACTTGACAGATACCTCAGAGTCATTATGTGTTATATCCTTACAACTGTTTGGCTGACTGGTCTGCAATTGAACAATTAATTCTTGCCGACCTAGTCTGATTTCCTCCAGGCCGTACTCTGGAGGTTTTGGCAAACACATCTTTTGCCAATTTCCTGGTCCCATTTTTTCCCAGCCTCTTAACTCCATTCAAAACACTCCCGCTTCCTGCCGACCTCTCCTCTGCCCATCAGCGCAGGCACAGAGGT